ACCTTGAAAACCAGCCAGAACATAAACTATAGAGCCAACTGCTGCACACTTCACTGTCACACCCTTCCACGGCATCGGCGAGACCATCTTCCATTCATTTAATTTAATATCATAATACTCCACATTGTCCAGACCACCTGCAAAAGGATAAAACACAAACACTGTACGCAATCCAGAGAGCTCTTAAAGTAATAATTCTTTGCATTTTTCCAACACTTTTATTATGAAAATTTTCAAGCATGCAAAAAAGGTGTAAGAATTTTACAGTGCCCACATATCTACCATTTAAATTCTTATGCTTACCTTAACACAGCAGAAATTTAATTTTTATTATTTTCAAATAATAAATATTTAATTATACAAAATTAAAAATTTTCTATCTGTTCTAGAAGAATAAAAAAGTATACCAATCTGAGTTTTCCTTTGGATTAATTATAATTATTCAAATGTCCCACTTTGTCTTTCTGTCTTTCAGTAGTTTACAGAAAATAGCAATGAGCAGAGAGAGGAGAAGGGAAAGAAGTTATTTTATTGTTGCACTTAAGTAATGTTTAAAGGTCCTGACTAAAATGAGGTGATGGAGTATATATAGATTCAGTCCAGATTTCCCTTATTTAAAGCAATTACTGAAGATTTTAGTACATTATTTAAGACAATACAAAGGTTTAATTCACTCATTTAAAAAACAGTAGTAATGTTTTCATGCAGTGTTTAAAAATGTTTAGGAAACTTTGCTATTCAGAGCCTGGACACAAGTCCTAAAACCTGTATTTAAAAAGTTTAAAAAGTATTTTTTAAAACTTTGATTATTTCTGTCACTCAAGAGTTCTTACGCTAGTGTGATGCCATACCCCAGGAGCACTTAGAAATGTGTGGAAGCCATTTGAGACAGTTACCCTGACTGATGGCCATTCCCCACATTTCATGAAAAAGGATGTTAAATGTGCTCCAATATTTCCTAAAATGCTAGTTCCCAGAAACTATAAAAGTAAGTATAATGATATGTGTGATGAATGCTTGTATCTAGATTTTAAGAAATGTTTCCATAATTTAAGATAAGAAAATAATCAGCAAACTCATCGGGAAGGTTGCACAGTGAAGTGACATCACACACCTAAGCCATTCTGACCACCCACAGCAAATATCTTATCTTTCACAAAGACCAGTCCGTGATTCTTCCTGGCCTCAATCATTGGACACAGCTCAGTCCATCTGGGGAAAGAAAAGGAAGGTTTCAGTATGCTTGTTCACTGGCAGTAAAAGGACTCATGCTGATTCATAAGAAAGGCCAGCTGCATATGTGTACACACGCGCACGTGCGCGCGCACACACACACATCTGGAAGGCTAGAAAACAAAAGCTTCACAGTGGTTTGGAACAGTTTATCTACAGATGGGTAAATACGGATTTTATTCCCTTCAGCTCTGACAGGAAATGAGATATAGAGGATATCTGGAGACTACTAACATGTCTTTGGAAGAAATCTACTTCCTGTAGTTCACAATGCCTTGTAAAATGGTATAAAAAATGAAGAGAAAGATACATCAAAGACTATAAAGCACAAATAGTGTCACGTGGTTTTAATTAAATGTATGTATGAGTAAGTGAAACACAAACTTATCACAGGTCTCTAGCAAATTGGCAAATAAAGGGACGTGCTAATTGTTGAGTAGCAGAGGTGGTGTAAGTACAGTGACATGAAACTAATGAGGAAATGAATGCAGAAGAAATCCCAGTCAGACCTCTTGTTCACACTCAAAAACATACAAAGAACTTCAGAAAGAAAATTCACTTGCTTTTTATAGGATTGTTCTTCCCTTACCAGAACAAGTTATTGGGTAAATGTTTTCAACTTAAATGTTGTGCCAATGAGCTGCACCTAAACTCTTGTGCTCTCTTAATGAACCTGATGATCTCAAGACATTTCCTAGTCTAAGGGAGGGGCTCCCACAGGGTGCAAGGTGAAGCCATTTCTTAAGCTATAGGAAGAGTCCAGGCTGTAAACATGCCCCTGACTTTGGCACATTTAAAAGTGTCTGTGCATTCTTAATACAAGGCTCCTTCTGCACTTTGACGTTCTTTCATTAAGCTTACAGAATACAATACTGTGAATTAAGAGTTTACAGAATACAATACTGATAATACATACGTTTCTGTGGCAGGATCATAAACTTCACAGGAATTCAACACACGGCCAGAAACATTGTTCCCTAAGCTCCCACCACAAACATAGATGAGGCCATTGGCCTCCACCATCCCGTGGCTGCAGCGCTGGGTCAGCATGCTGGGCTTCGTGTGCCAGCTCTCAGTCCTCGTGTCATAGCACTCAAATAAATACAGGGCTGAGTTTCCTGTAAGAGAAGAGGGCCCCATCATGCCTGCTGCCGTGTGTGTGTGTGTGGGCTTGGGGCGAGCTGACTGTAGAGTCGAGTCAGTGGCTGGAAGAAAGAATTTAGGGTTATAGAGTCTTCTCTATACTCAATCAGTAATAGCAGCAACATGTAGGAATAGTTGGTAGAGACCTTGGAAAATATTCACAGCATACATTGGAGAGACTTATTGGTAATTAAATTTTAGAAAAAGAAATTGGTTTTATTTTAAAGAAAATTAAATAAGAAACTTTATATATATCTTTAAGCCCAGTTGTGCATGATAGGAATTATCAAACTTTGAAATGTTTATACAGAGGAGAAAAGCATAACTATTTACAGATGGTAAACCCATACCTTAAAATACAAAAATTACTATCTGGTAACATGCTGAGACTTATCATTTAATATTCTATAACAGCCACTGCACCATTAACAAATTGCTCTTCCTGACTGCTCTCAGTGGTTGTGTGGGTAAGCCCTGAAGTCACGCTGGTCCGTTCCTGAGTATACGCTCAAGGCATCGCTGTATGTTTCTGGTGTACTTTGATTATACCTTTTAATGGCAAAACATATATTCTGTTTTTCAACTTCTGCATATTATAGGAGTCCCAATGACGTTTCAGAAATGATACTATCAAAGTGCTTTTCTTCCAAGAAAAGAGAAGTTAGAACTTGACCAAATTATTTCTCATCTGCCGTTTTCTGAACTTTGCTAATGCTAAAAAACAACAATAACACACTGCTGCCCTTATAATTCTCAATCACAATCAAAATGTACAAAAAGCAAAGATCAGAAAGTAACAAACAGAAAAAGCAATGGTCGTGACTAACAACAACTTCCTTTTTTAAAAAATGTTTCCAATTTGGTAGGTTTAATTGGTTGACATTAGGAGAAATATACAGTATATGGCAGAAATAAAATCTATGTAAGTAAAATACTGACTTAAGAGTAAATGAAGTTATCTATAATACTTGCTGCAAAAAGTGTATTTATAGAACAGTTAATTTTTATTATTTTTAGCATTTATTGTATGTATTAGACATTCTGTGAAAAATGCTTTTAAATGAGAAAAATCATCTCTTAAATCACATTTAGGAAATCGTATTTTTTCTTGTATTTATCTGGGAGGGGTAAAAGCTTAAAACATAAATATGCAGAAAAAAGTAAAATATTCTCTGGGCTAATATAAAAATTATCAAAGAAAATATTAAGACAACATTTAAATTCCATATTTTAGGTTTACTCAGTATTCCTAGTTTTCCTTGTCAGCCCATTATTTGGCTAAAGAAATTACTTGAAAAGGTGAAAGCATATAAAAGCTATTATGTGTCTAGTCTTCACCTAGAATATTCACTTAGACAAATTCTTCATTACTAGACTTACTGGGGTGGGGGATCACTTTCTAAGTTACATAAATTTGTAACCAGTATGCTGTACATCTGAAACTAATATGATAGTGAATATCAATTACAATTAAAAAATAAAAATGGAACAAACAGAAAAAATTATTCATTTTGAGAAAGACCACTACTGGACGCTTAATATCAAGAAAGGTTTTTACCTCCGTACCTAACTATTCTGATCAATGAACATAAAATACCACTATCAAAATGTACAAAAAGCAAAGATCAGAAAGTAACAAACAGAAAAAGCAATGGTCGTGACTAACAACAACTTCCTTTTTTAAAAAATGTTTCCAATTTGGTAGATTTAATTGGTTGACATTAGGAGAAATATACAGTATATGGAAGAAATAAATTACATTAAAAAGATAAAGAATGAAGCAAATGAAAAGTTCATTCTCAGTTTTTTTTATGATGCAAAGAAAGGAAAGATAATACAAATTTTAAAAGCTTGAATGTAGAAAGAGGACTTAAAGCGTTTCTAAGTAAGCCAAACTCTGAAATCTTTAAAGCAAATAATACTATGTATCAAAAACAACTAATCTAGAACTAAAATCCAGATGTTGTCAATGAAAGCTTCGTCATGACAAAAATGGACAATTAATATAATCTAGGAAGTTGAAGTTCTTATAAACATTTTAAGGAGTAAAGTAAGCCTTCAGGGAAATGGGCTGCAAAATGTACCATACACATTTAAATTATGTCAAAAAGTATCTGAACAAATAACACCAACAGTTTATTTAAATATGAAAGCTGAGATACTCAGCTTTAAAGCACATGCCCCAAACAGAAACATGAGTCCAGTCCTTACCGACTTCGGAACCGCCAGATGTATAAATTTTGCCCTCTGCGGCACAGGCAGCCAGGCTGTCTCGAGGTGTTGGGGGTCCCAGTTTGGAATACCAGCTATCCTTCACGACATTATAGCAGTCCATTCGTTTAATGGGGAAAAGCTGAGAGCCACCCAAAATGTACACAACATTGTCCCAAAACACACATGCTGCATCTCTGCGTTTTTCAAAGGGGCAGCGGATGTCTGTCCAGCTATAATCCTGTAATAGAAAAGCACAGGAAGCTTTCAGTGATGGGAAAATATAATCGAAAAGGATAAGGCAAAGATGTAGTTGAAAAATGCAAAATATAAGAATATGTTAATTTAGGAGAGTACATATAAAAATGTTTGGTTTGAGATTATTAATCTAGTCTGTGTGATTTATTTTTCAGAATGTTGGCAGAAGTCAAGAAGAAGACAGTGGCTGCTTTGGGTCCTTTCTGGCTCTGAAATGAATTCTAATAGATTTGGATGCATCGTCATCATCTAGTCTTCTATTCCTGCTGGTACTGAGGGTAATACAAGAAGATTCTAAAACAAGTAGGTTTGTTATTTTAAGCAAGCTTTTTTCCAAGTATCCTCAATACCTTCCCTGCCAGATGTATAGAGTGTTATAAAGAATCGGTGGTTAATATGGAGTTGAAACTGCCATTATCTTTCTGATGTCTAAAGCTAGAAAATATTTTGTGGACTTTCTGTGAGATATTAATTTTCTGTAAACATTCAGTTGAGCCACTGTATTCAGCCGGATGCTTAAAGCTGTGGTACTTACTATGAAATACTTGAGTACAGTAGTTCCCCATTATCCACGGTGGGTTTGTTCCAAGACCCCCAGTGGATGCCTGAACCCCTATACATACTATGTGTTTTCCTACACATCCATACATACATACCTATGATGAAGTTTAATTTGTCGATTAGGCACAGTAAGAGATTAACAATAACTAACAATAAAATAGAATAATTGCAATAATATACTGTAAAAGTGAAGTGAATGTGGAGCCTCTCAGAATGCCTCACTGTGCTGCACCCACCCTTCCTTTTGTGATGAGGTGAGATGGTACCATGTCTGCGTGACGAGGTGAAGCGAGGTGAGCGATGCAGGCGTTGTGACGCAGTGTTAGGCTACTATTGACCTTCTGACGAAACGTCAAAAGGAGGATCACTGGGCCATGACTTAGGAATTATTTCTGGAATTTTCCATTTACTGTTTTCAGACCATGGTTAACTGTAACTGGAATTGCAGAAAGTGAAACTGTGAAAAAGGGGTACCGCTGTAGTCTGTTCTGAGTAGTCTGGAAACTCACTCTCTTCTTCCCAGCAATGAGAAGTGGGCACTTATCCGTGCTTCACAGGAAGGCCTGCTCACAGCACCACTCTGTTTCCTTGCTGTGTCAGGTGACACCCGCGGGCGCCTGCGCCCTTCTCCTATGTAACTGTCTGGGGATGCACCCAAAGTCACAGAATCTTGGGTCCTCCCTCTTTGGGTGAGGAAGCTATAGTGTTCCTGCTGCTTTTGGAAAGTGGTTGGAGATAATAAGGGTCAGGCAGACATCCAAACGGCCAGTCTCACTGAATAAAGCACTGTCTATGATTATTAGTGTTCAGTTCCCTTTGGGAAAATAATCAACTAATACCATGCTAGTATCCCGAGTTTCAGGCATTCAGTGCATTAGGTCGAAGTATCACAGGAAGTAAGTTTTATTAAGGTCCCTAATATAGAATACCTTGATTCCTAGTGATGGTAAACATTCTGCTTTTTAGGTGACAAGAAAAATAGAGCCTTAATTCATTTTTTATTCTCAAATTAGGATCTATGCATCCCCTGGCTTACTGTGTGGTATGTGTATTCGCAGGCACACACAACTATGGGATAAACACAGCACCTTCCCAAAGCTTCAGTTTTACTCAGTGGACATTGGATAACTCAGAGAATCTCAAGTCTTGCCACTCTTACATCCAACATATTGCTATTTATTATTAGAAGGCAATATGGCAACTTTTCCATAGTTTCTAAAGGTGTCCTCAAGAACATTATTTCCATGCTGTTCCTTATTTAACTTCAGGATGAGAAAATTGGTTTATCTCTTAAGACCTGCTACTGTTCAAATTAAAAATAACTGCCCATGTAGAAGCTGGAATTAAAACAAACAAAATACTTTTTTTCTTTTAGCTAGATCAGCTTAAACATTTAGATGCTAGGATATGAGGTTCCAAAGAATGAATTCTGAGGAGTTTGGTAACAGAATAATTCTAACTTTCTAATCTTACTCGGGGATTTGAGTAGGAAATTGACAGGTGTTCATAGGTACCTGTCATACAAGGTTTCAGATTTAAGAACTAAAACAAATTGCTCTTTTGGAACTATAAGCCCATGGGGAAAATGATTAACCTTTGTGTGTGTAGCACGTGTGTGTGACATAAGACTAGGCACGTGCTTCTGGTTACTTGCAATTTGGGCTCTGACGTCTCTAGAAATCCTCAAGTTTTTAAACAAATACTGTCATTCATTGGTTGTTGTACAAAGGAGGCACTAAGCTTGATAAACACCATATTATATGATATCCTGCCTAATAGTTCATCTTCTAGGCAGAAAGTAAAATGATCTTTGCAAGAATTTTTACCTAGAATGTAAAATGGACTTTATTTCAACTAAAAGTTAATGCTTTACACCTGGGCTCATTATGCCTGGCTGGCAGGTGTTATTAAGCAATTAAGCACACCTGTGTTGGAACAGCTCTCTGGCTTTGGCCGTATGTAGGTACGTGTAGCAGGAGGGGAGCTCATGATTTGTGTGTGTGTGTGTGTGTGTGTGTGTGTGTATAGGTAGATCTCCCTGGGAAGTCTATCGATTCCTCCAATCTGCCTGATACCCGTCATCTGAAACAGACTACTGAGAAGGCCATTCGATGTCTGCCCTTTAGCAGTATGTTATACTGCCTAGGTGGTGACGTGTGAGCTGAGGGGAGAAAAACAGATGGGAAGGAAGGATTGTCAACTCAGTGGGTGTGAGCACCTGGCCTTATCCTCGTGTTGGGACCATTGCCAACCTGGGGCCTGCAGGTGAAGGGTCACTTACAGCTCCTTGCAAACCTAGACTAAGGGCAGGCTAGAGGGACATGAGCTTTCCGGGTAGCAAGAAGATGGAAAAAGGGCACTTGAGTCACAGTGTATGTGTGGGGGCAGGGAACTGTCACCCTAAAAATAGAATTTAATTTAGTTAAGTTCAATTGAGTTTACCTAGTCTGTGCGAGGTTCTGCATTTAGCTGCTGAGAATATATGAAAATAGGGCAAGTGGAAAGCCTGGAAAAGATGCAAGTGGAAGGACACACACACACACACACACACACGCATGCAGAACTCCCTTGTGGAAAGTCCCGTCTTCCCTGATCCTGGTCAGCTTTTCTGGCCTCTGCCATATTGAGCCACACTATAGACTTTTTTTTTCAAGTTCTAGACTCCTTTTCCTTTCGTCAGTTTCCCCGACTTCCCTGCTGTGAACCCCCACCACACTGGCGATGGAACGCTCCGCTACGCCCTGTCCTGGGTGACTTCCCAGCTGCAGTGCTGTGCTGCAGGCGAGTAACACGCTGCTGGAGTGGAGCGGCTGTCACTGTATCTCTGAATGCCTCAAGACAAACACATCAGTCTGTACTCTTTTTCTTGAGGGTAAGAACAGATTTTATGTAACCCGTATTCTGAAAACACGCAAATCCTCAAAAAACAAAAACACTGCAAGATGTAGGTTTTAATAATCAAGGCAACCAAAATCCAAACTAAAAGAAATACTTTTTATTTTTAAGACTTAAGGACTTATTTTGAATCACTGTGAGAGGAAGCCACACAAAATTAGGGAAGATAGGGTCTTAGAGAAAAGGAAAGAACAATTAACAAAATGGTAAACAACCTTAACATTTCTTGCAGAAACCTCAAGGAGTCAACCTGAGTTTAAATGACCAAATTATAAACACTTTTTTGAAGTCAGTTTCTAAGGGCTGTCAAAAATAAAATCACAGAATATGGTGACAATTGATATTGAAAGCAGGTTTATGTCAGATGCCAGAACATTCCTAGAAGAAGATTCATGAAAAATGCATAGAAACACTTTTGGCTTCATTCATTTCACAAGTCACAAAAAACTAGTAAACCTGCATGGAGGAGCTAGACTCTGCATGGAGGAGCTGTGGGTCTCACAGAAGTCAGTTAACCTCTCTGGCTGTTACTTTCCTTATCTGTAAAACAAGACAATGGGGTGATCTCAGGGCCCCTCCTTTGAGCTCTAAAATCCAATGATTTTGGGGTCCAAATGATTTATGTGTCAATAACAAAGAGCTACTATTAATTTAGTCATTATTCAGTACTTTACCTTTCTAGGAACTATGTTGAAATATCTTAAAACATTACAGTATTTCCTCAATAATTCTATGAGGTAATATCCTCATTTTACAGATAAGAAAACTAAATCTTAGAGATGTTACATATCTTGTCAAAGGTCACAGAGTTTTGAATCCAAGATTTAAGTCTAAATCTATCAGGCTCCAAAGCAGTGCTCCTAAACCTTAGACTGATCTGCTTCTCTAAAAATCCTCTTACACGGCAGCCAAGAAAGAACACTGGATTGGGAGTGAAGTAATGTGGGCTCTTCCCATTGTTGTGTTTTTAGCTAAGTGCCTGGGCTTCTATAAATTCACCTATAAACTCAGGATGTTGGCAAGATGGCCACTGAGGTTGTGCACAGCCTCCATCCACAACTTACCACTTACAAACACAATGATCAACCGCTAAAACCACAGGTTGTCTGAAAACAGGATTTCCCCCATGTCTTGGTGTGGTATTTGGCTTGGAGCTTAGCATGTCTAAAGGAATGTTTGTACTGGCTGATAGGCCACATTTGTAGAAAAGTATATCTCATCCAGCTCAGCCACCTTCATTTTTGACCTTCTGAAGGTCAAAGGCTATAGATATGACACGACTCCTAGCTTGGACCAGTTCTCCCTGCAGCACTGTCCTTAGGTCACACAGACTCCAGTGTGCACCTTGTCCCTATGGCTCCTGGCCCTGTGGCGAAGAACAGGGAGACCTGTGACCAACCAACGAACAGTAACTGTGGTTGGGGACCACAGGATTTCATCTACTTTTGGGGTAAAATCTAAATAGTTTCCATTTTTATCCTTTGCTAGAACAACAATTTTCCTAGGAATTTACCCTAAAGGAAGCACTGGGCAGTGTATAAAGTTGGTACATACAAGGATGTTTCACTGCAGGGATATTGTAACAGGACAAAATGTGAAACAGGCCAAATCTGTGCGAAGAAGACAGGCATTAAACAAAGTATGGTATATTTTGTGATGGGTACTCTGCAGGCCTTCAAAGGGATGGCATTTTCACTGACATGAAAATATCTCTGTAATGTAAATGCTGAGAGAGTAAAAGACGTTTTTGCAAAACAGCATGCATGGCATGATGCCATATGTGCACAATGAGAGGCCCAGAGTGATGTTCACTAAGTACTGATGACATCTCTCGGTGTTGGGAGCAC